TATTATGCAATCATAACCATGATACATCTTTCATTCGGTCTGTTTATTACAGCGGATTACAGCCAGGATTATTCGTAATGGAGTGTCTCTACCTACTGTATTCGTATTGAACTTTGATCGCGGCTAAACATTACCCTTCTATCACTCGTTATTTCATTCAGCTAAGTTTTGTTGTGAGAGTTCTGTTAATTAAATGAACGTCAGTCATATTATTAATTAATGAAGAGGCGTTATGTGCATTTACCCGCTTAACGGCTATTAAACCTCTGTTGCAAAATCATTTTGTTACAATACTTAAACGGATAGAAGTTTTAAAAAAAAACGTGCATTTGGGCGGGCGTTTTCATACTCCAGTATTAGATAATACAATTAAGCTGCCCTATCTAAGGACCACACCATGGAAACAGAAACAAAAGGGTGAAAAAAAAGATACCTTTTTATGGACCGAGAACCTCAAAAACCATATCCTATTCCGCAGCACCTAAGTAAATGGCCCATATATGGGAGTACCCCCTTCCCCCCCGGAGGGCGAATAATCCCCTCGACTTCTTCTCAGGGATTATTCGACGCTATTCACCTCGCCTTCGGCGAATAATCGTTAATTATACTCTCAAGATTAATTTTAATTTTTTATGGCTAGTGCCTATATAGAGGCCGAGTCATATTGCTGTCGATCAGAGGGAGGGAATGAGTTTCATTTCGTGTGATTCGTTCGACTAGATTTTGATTCGAAATAATTCTCGGCTAACTCCGGAGGAATTCGAATCTTTATCTGGTACGTTTACGTATCTTTTTAACACGCCACTTCTGATCAAAACATACAGTTTAGGATCTTTATTCACAGAGACTGGCACTAGGATTCGTTTTACGCATTTATTCTATCAAAAATAAATTAGACAATTGACGATAATTTACGAATAAAGATAGTCGTGGAATTGTCTCGTGGATATTACGGATAGCTATCGACCACAACAGATCCGATTTCCTGCTGATCATCACGTGCTCTGTATCTTCGCAAGAGAGGTGAGTTGTTTATTTCTATACAATGATTTTTCACTATTTTGCAGCAAGAACCGGGCTCAACTTTCGGTGCATTTATAAAGTATTTGTTTCAAAACATTTTAGTACGTTTTTTGATAATTTGTGTCCATTACGTTTCAAGAAAGCAACGTCTAAATCGAGACGTGCTTTGCGCATAATTAATGGTGGGGGACCATTTCCCCTCCACTATGTTTTGCAGGAGTCAGACAAAGCTAGCAGTGGGGGAAACAACTGCTTCGGTAGTCAAATAAACCCAGCTGTGGGACAGTTCAACTCCTTCGGGTGACAAACAAACCCAGAAATGGTACAGTACAACTCCTTCAGGAGGCAAACAAACAAACCCAGCAATAGGATAATACAACTCCTTGGGATGACAAACAAACCCAGCAATGGGACAATACAACTCCGTCGGGAGGCAAACAAACCCAGCAATGGGACAATACTAAAACACTCCTTCGGGAGTCCAAACAACTCCTTTGGGAATCAAACAAATCCAGCAGGGAACAAAATTTATTTAAAGTGCCACACCTATAGAACACCAAATTGTTTGTGCAAACAATATAGACAATTGTGTATTTCAATAGATGCATTCATGAAAGTTGTGCCTGGTTCTAAATATACCTGAGTGTCCATTGATTGCAGTGCATCTTTAGATAAAGAACTGTCAGTGTCTAAGATAAATTTACTGAAATGCGTTCAAAACCATAGACATTCCCGATTGTGTTCAAAAGTTAAAATTCAAAGAGTAACTAAGAGATAGAGAACCATAATGAGTACCATTAAAAAAAAATTACTTTCACCAAATAGTAGACAAATAAGAACCAAATGCAAAAAAATGCTAAGAAAAACAGTGCCTTTATTTTCATCTGCTTTACATCACATTGCTAGAAATTTTAAGCTTTGGAAAACAAACTTTTTACAAAGACAAGACAGTTTCTATAGTTTCTGTTAGAAGAAAAACTATCAAATCAGTAGCTACATAATTATATGTATCTACATGAAGAATATTAATGTCTGGTGATTTTGAACTAAATCCTGGTTCTATGATAGATACTACTGAAAACATTTCCTTCAGTATCCCTTATAATTTTATATTGCACTATAGAATGTTAATTAAGACATGGATTAAGACGATTAGCTGTTGGTGGTGGAGGTGATTGTTCATTTAAATCAATATCACACCAGGTATTTGGTGATTCAGGTCATTATGTAGAAATTAGAGATCAAGCAGTTAGGTATCTGACAGATAATCCTGAACATTTCATAGAAAAAGTAGTTTATATGCCTTGCATGGTCACAGTATTTATCTGACATGTCTATACAAGGTACCCGAGCAGATAACATTATGATTCAAGCAGTTTCTGATGTAACGAATCTAAACATTCACATTATAGAATCTTGTGAAAACTTTAGAGAATTGACATTAAGTGAACCTGTGTATCCTAATGTGTTAGAAGACTCAAAAACAATCTATTTAGGGCATATAGGTGAAATGCATTACATTTCATCATGCATAGCTTTGTGCACTCCAAATTCAATTCAAAGTGATAGTGAAATACCTAGTAATTCAATTGACAGCAATGCTTGTACACTTTCTTGTCAAAAAAAGTATCAAAACATACTCAATTAAATAATTGTAAAAACAAAAAGAAACAAAAGGCAACAAAAAGCTGAATACAGGAAACAATATAGAATTTGTATGCAATCACCAGAAAAGAAGGCTAAATGAAATGAATATCAGAGAAATTATGGAGGAACTCAAACATGCACAGAAAAAAGCGAAACGCAATAATTAGTACCAAAGAAATTATAGAAAAATTTCGAGTACACCAAAGAAAAAAGCAAGTCGTAATGAATACCAAAGAAATGATAGAAAAACGTCATGTGCACCTGAGAAAAAGCAAAACATAATGAGTACCAAAGAAATTATAGAGCTTCTAATATTTCTATTGAGTTATGGATTAAAAAATTCCATGAAATAGTGAGTCAAGGGTCACTGTATATATGCACTTGCTGTGACCAGTTGTGGTATAGACATAGTGTACTAAACATTGGCAAACTTCAACAGCCCAATCCTGAAATTAAAATTTCTCTGTGTGATAAAACAAAGTGTTGATAACAAAGAGTGAATTTGTAGGACATGTCATTATCGTGGTATGATATTTCCAGAGAAAGCAGATTTTTTTTACCTTAATGAATTAGAGTTTAGATTACTAGCACCAAAAATTGCATTTGAGAAATTAATGCAAGCACCTAGAGGAAGACAACCTAAGATACATATCATGAAAATATTGTTAATATACCAACTAATACGTATGATGCACGATCCTTCGCAGTAGATAGCATTATTTATGCAATAGCGAAAATCAGACCTGAATAAAATCAGGCCTGTAGCCCT